AGCACGACCACGCCCCAGCACGACCACGCCCCAGCACGACCACGCCCCAGCACGACAACGCCCCAGCACGACCACCCCCCAGCACGACCACCCCCCCAGCACGACCACCCCCCAGCACGACCACCCCCCAGCACGTCCACACCCCAGCACGACCACTCCCCAGCACGACCACACCGCCTTGGTTGAGTGGTTGCCTGTCGTCGTGGAATGTTTCGTGGGGTGTCTCGTGGAATGTTTCGCGGGGTGTCTCGTGAAATGTTTCGTGAGGTGTCTCGTGGAATGTTTCGTGAGGTGTCTCGTGGGCTGTTTCGTGAGGTGTCTCGTGGGATGTTTCGTGAGGTGTTGCCCAGTTGGGTATCATGAAAACGTGTCCATGCTCCACATGTCTATATCCCTTTCCGGGTTCGTGGGTCCATCATGTTACGACGCCATCATGTCTGGGTTGTGTCCTGTGTCGCGATCCATGCTTCCTGCACTCCTGCGGCAGTGTGGCCCTCGGAGGGGCCTCGCGCCCTCTCGCGCCTCCTGCCCAGTCGAGTCCGACTGCAGACCTCGGCCGCTCGGAGCAGGATCGGCGGCGGGCGAAGGGGGTGAGGAGGAGGAGGAGGAGGAGGAGGAGGAGGCGGAGGAGGAGGAGGAGGAGGTCCGAACTTCGAGGTTCGAGGTTCGAGGCGCTCTCTCCTGCCCTGCGATCCGACGCTCCAACAAAAATTGGAGCAGGCAGATTTTGGCAGTTTTCGGCCTCGGGGGGCCCTCGCCGGGCCTCGGGAGCGCCAAAAAAGGACTCAGGACGAAAAACCGGTCCAGGGGAAGTGGTCCGGACCTCCTGGGTCCACGCCCCAAAAAAATTGGAGCAGCCGGATGTCTGGGTAGTTTTCGGCCTCTGGGGGCCGTTTTCGGGCCCCGGGACCCCCGAAACTCGGATGGACGCCGGGAGGGGTCTGGGGACTGCTTTTGACAGAGTTCCGGCGGCGCGCCCGGCGGGGAAGTGAGAAGGAGGAGGCCCTCTCAGAAGGCGGCGGAGCTTCTCAGGAGCCCTCCGGCCTTCTGAGAGGGCTTCTGCGTCTTCGGGGAAGGCTCAGAGCACTTCTCAGAACGCCCGGGGGGCCTCGGAGCCTTCTGACCCAGACATCCGGCTGCTCCGATTTTTTCCCGGAAAGGGCGTGGGCCCAGGGTTCTCTTTTACTAGGTAAACCTAATCCCCCGGTGCCTGCTTGAAGGAGGCCGGCGAATTGCCGGCGAATTTTTTCCCTGATAAATAACGAGGTCGAAGGAGGCCGGCGAATTAAAATTTGAGGATGTCTCGAGCGAAACGCTTGTTTTTCAGAAAATGGTGAGGATGTCTGAGCGAAACGCTTGTTTTGTTATAGATTGTCCTCTCCTGGGGACTGAATTCTGAGGACACGCCCAGCACGACCACCGCCACCCCCCCAGCACGACCACCCCCCAGCACGACCACCCCCCCACCACGACCACCCCCCAGCACGACCACCCCCCAGCACGACCACACCCCAGCACGACCACTCCCTAGCACGACCACACCCCAGCACGACCACACCCCAGCACGACCACACCCCAGCACGACCACACCCCAGCACGACCCGATCGATAAATCACAGGGTGCGGAGCACCCCAGCACGAACCCACCCCAGCACGACCCCACCCCAGCACGACCCCACCCCAGCACGACCACGCCCCAGCATGACCACACCCCAGCACGACCACACCCCGGCACGACCACTCCCCAGCACGACCACACCCCACACACCCCACCCTAGCAACGCCACACCCCGACACTATACCACACACCCCAGCACGACCCACCCAAGCACATCAACAACCCCAGCACGACCCACCCCAGCAAGACCACACCCCAGCACGACCACACCCCAGCACGACCTTACCCCAGCACGACCACTCCCCAGCACGACCACGCCCCAGCACGACCACGCCCCAGCACGACCACGCCCCAGCACGACCACGCCCCAGCACGACCACGCCCCAGCACGACCACCCCCCAGCACGACTACCCCCCCAGCACGACCACCCCCCAGCACGACCACCCCCCAGCACGACCACACCCCAGCACGACCACTCCCCAGCACGACCACACCGCCTTGGTTGAGTGGTTGCCTGTCGTCGTGGAATGTTTCGTGGGGTGTCTCGTGGAATGTTTCGCGGGGTGTCTCGTGAAATGTTTCGTGAGGTGTCTCGTGGAATGTTTCGTGAGGTGTCTCGTGGGCTGTTTCGTGAGGTGTCTCGTGGGATGTTTCGTGAGGTGTTGCCCAGTTGGGTATCATGAAAACGTGTCCATGCTCCACATGTCTATATCCCTTTCCGGGTTCGTGGGTCCATCATGTTTGGTGCGTGGACCCAGGAGGTCCGGACCACTTCCCCTGGACCGGTTTTTCGTCCTGAGTCCTTTTTTGACGCTCCCGAGGCCCGTCGAGGGCCCCCGGAGGCCGAAAACTGCCAAAATCTGCCTGCTCCAATTTTTCCCGGAAAGGGCTCCGGCCCAGGGTTCTCTTTTAGTTGGTAAACCTAATCCCCCGGTGCCTGCTTGAAGGAGGCCGGCGAATTGCCGGCGAATTTTTTCCCTGATAAATAACGAGGTCGAAGGAGGCCGGCGAATTAAAATTTGAGGATGTCTCGAGCGAAACGCTTGTTTTTCAGAAAATGGTGAGGATGTCTCGAGCGAAACGCTTGTTTTGTGTTTTAGATTGTCCTCTCCTGGGGACCTGAATTCTGAGGACCACCTCCCAGCACGACCACCCCCCCAGCACGACCACCCCCCAGCACGACCACCCCCCAGCACGACCACACCCCAACGACCACTCCCCAGCACGACCACACCCCAGCACGACCCCACCCCAGCACGACCCCACCCTAGCACGACCACACCCCAGCACGATCACACCCCAGAACGACCACACCCCAGCACGACCCCACCCCAGCACGACCTCACCCCAGCACGACCACACCCCAGCACGACCACACCCCAGCAGGACCCCACCCCAGCACGACCCCACCCCAGCACGGCCCCACCCCAGCAAGACCACACCCCAGCACGACCACACCCCAGCACGACCTCACCACAGCATGACCACACATCAGCACGACCCACAACCCCCTCACGAACCTCACACAGGCACGACCACACCCCAGCAAACGACGACACGCCCCCAGCACGGACCACGCCCAGCACGACCACTCTCCCCAGCACGACCACCTCCAGCACGATACCACAGACCCCCCAGCAAGCACGACACCCCCCCAGCACGACCACCCCCGCAGCACGACCACCCCCCAGCACGACCACACCCCAGCACGACCACACCCCAGCACGACCACGCCCCAGCACGACCCCACCCCAGCACGACCACACCCCAGCACGACCACACCCCAGCACGACAAGCACGACCCCACCCCAACACTACCCCACCCCAGCACGACCCCACCCCAGCACGACCACACCCCAGCACGACCACACCCCAGCACGACCACACCCCAGCACGACCCCACCCCAGCACGGCCCCACCCCAGCAAGACCACACCCCAGCACGACCCCACCCCAGCACGACCTCACCACAGCACGACCACACCCCAGCACGATCACGCCCCAGCACGACCACGCCCCAGCACGACCACTCCCCAGCACGACCACCTCCCAGCACGACCACCCCTCCAGCACGACCACCCCCCAGCACGACCACCCCCCAGCACGACCACACCCCAGCACGACCTCACCACAGCACGACCACACCCCAGCACGACCACGCCCCAGCACGACCATGCCACAGCACGATCACGCCCCAGCACGACCACCCCCCAGCACGACCACCCCCCCAGCACGACCACACCCCAGCACGACCACACCCCAGCACGACCACACCCAGTCGCACCCCCCTGGAATGTTTCGTGGGGTGTCTCGTGGAATGTTTCGTGGGGTGTCTCGTGGAATGTTTCGTGGGGTGTCTCGTGGAATGTTTCGCGGGGTGTCTCGTGGAACGTTTCGCGAGGTGTCTCGTGGAATGTTTCGCGAGGTGTCTCGAGGGATGTTTCGCGGGGTGTCTCGTGGGATGTTTTGTGAGATGTCGCCCAGTTGGGTATCGTGAAAACGTGACCATGCTGCGCATGTCTATATCCCTTTCCGGGTTCGTGGGTCCATCATGTTTTGGAGCGTCGGATCTCAGGGGAGAAGGCCCTCCCCCCTTTCATTTCCCCCCATGCGCGCCGCCGGGAAGAGGAGCAGGAGGAGGCTGGAGAGAGGGTAGGGAAGGCCGGGAGGCCCCCTCACCATGCACGTCGTGTCAGACGGGGTCTTGTGCCGCGCTGCTGCCGCTGCTTTTTCTTCACCCTACGCTGCATGGCGATGGTTGCCGCGAAGAGGCTGGAGAGGGACGAGACGTGGACTCTGAGACTGGAGGAGGAGGAGGAGGAGGAGGAGGAGGAGGAGGAGGAGGAGACGACCCCTTGCGAAGTTTCGAAGCTGTGGACCCCAGGGGCCGTTGCTCGCAGATGCTTCCGCCGTGCACGGAGAGTTCGCCCCTGGCGCAGGAGAACGAGAGCACGCGAAAGGCAGCAGGACGCGCGCTGCTACTCGCGTGGGGCGCCTTCTAGAAGTGTTTGTTTGCCTCGCCTTCGCCCCTCCTCGCTTATTGAACCTCCCCTAAACACCTCATCCATACAACACTCCTCCTCCTCCTCCTCCTCCTCCTCCTCCCTCCTCCTCCTCACTCCCCCCCCTCCTCCTCCTCCGCCGCCTTCTCCCTCGTGTCGTCCTCCTCCTCCTCCTCCTCCTCCTCCTCGTCCTCCTTCCCTCGTGTCCTCCCTCCACCTCCTCGGGGGGGGTTCCCCCCCCTCCTCCTCCTCGTGTACCTCCTCCTCCGCCGCCCTCCTCCCCTCCTCCCTCCTCCTCGTGTCCTCCTCCTCCTCCTCCTCGTGTCCTCCTCCTCCTCCTCCTCCTCCTCCTCCTCCTCCTCATCCTCCTCCTCTTCCTCCTTCTCCCGCTGCAGCAGAGGCATGGGGGGTGCACGAACGGTTCTCGTCCTGCCCTTTGGATTTCCTGGCGTTGCATGTGCTGCTGACGCCCCATCTATGTTCATCTCTTGCGCGGCGCCATGTCCATCCTTGCGGTCGCTGCACTTGCTCTGGCGATCTGTCTGGAACGAGATGGCCTGCCATCGGAGTTCCGCGGAACGCGCCGCGAGAGCGTCGCCTTGCGCGCTTCGTCCGCGTCCTTCCGCCCTCCACCTCCCCAATCCTCGTCCGTCCTCATCCCCATCCTGGGATGTACAGATGTGCATTCTGTCTTTACCCTGGCGTCCCGAGGCCCCCCAAGGAGTCGCAATTCGATCACGGAGCGGCCATCATTTGGCACGCTGAGGCTTTTGGGAGCCAGAAAAGATGACTCCTTCTTGCTCCCCGCCCCTCTCCCTCCCCTCGTCCCCCCACCTCACTCTCCAACCCCCTCTCCCTCTTACTCCCCGGCCCTCTCCCTCTCCCACCCCTCTCCTCTCCTCACTCCCCGCCCGCCCCTCCCCGCCCCACCCCCCTCCCCCTCTCGCTCCCCGGTCCTCTCCCTCTCCCGCCCCTCGCCCTGCTCTCCTCTTTCCCCCCCTCTCCACCCAGGCCCCCGACGTCGTGATTTTTGTCACAACGTCGACCCCCAGAGGTCTGGACCCCTTCCCCGGGACCGGTGTCTCATCCCGAGTCCTTTTTTGACGGCCCCGAGGCCCGGGGAGGGCCCCCGGAGGCTGAGAATAGTGCAAAACCTCCCGTCGTGATTTTTTCACGGCGCCAGGAGGTCTGGGAACCCCTCTCCCTCTCTCTCCCCCTCCCCTCTCCCTCCCCTCTCCCTCTCCCTCCCCTCGACCGCGCGCGCCGCGGGGGCCCGGAGGACCACGGCTTCCCGCAGCCCCGGCACGAGCCGCCGCTGGCCCACGGTGGCGGGGGCGGCCTTCCTTCGAGCAGCGAAGGGCGAGGTGGAGGGGCGAAGAGGAGGAGGAGGAGGAGGAGGAGGAGGAGGAGGATTAGGAGGAGGATTAGGAGGAGGATTAGGAGGAGGATTAGGAGGAGGATTAGGAGGAGGATTAGGAGGAGGAGGACGAGGAGGAGGAGGAGGGCGGAGGAGGGCGGAGGAGGGCGGAGGAGGGCGGAGGAGGAGGAGGAGGAGGAGGAGGAGGAGGAGGAGGAGGAGGAGTAGTCCTAGAGCAGGAGGCTCAGAGGGAGGCCACGAGGAGGGAGGTGGGAGGCCCTCGCCACGGCGCGGCGCCCCTGAACGCCGCGAGCCCGGGGCGGAGCGGTCGTTGGAGCGGGCCCGCCGGGCCGAGCTCGGCATTCGAGCGCTCGGCGCGACAAGCGCTGGCGGCCCCCCACTCGGCAACCGCTGCGCCCGACGGCGGCGCGGAAGGCGGCGCGAGGTGGTGGCGCGCGCACCACCGCAGCCAGGCGCCGCTGGCGGGCAGGACGCGGGCGCCCTCTCCGGTGTCCCAAGATCCTCCCCTTCCCCCTGCCTCCTGCCCCCTCCTCCTCCTCCTCCTCCTCCCTCCTCCTCCTACGCTCCTTCCTCCCCTCACCCTCCTCGTCCCACTCCTCCCCCTCACCCCTCCTCCCCCTCCTCCCCCTCCTCCCCCTCCCCCTCCCCCTCCTCCTCCTCCTCCTCCTCCTCCGCCTCCTCCTCCTCCTTCTCAATTCCCCCCCTCGCTCGTCGCCGAGGCCTGCCCCCGATGGCGTGAGGCCGGACGATTGTTGGGCAGGGTGGGGCCCCCCCAGAGCTCGCACGCGCCGCGGGGGGCGTGGCCCCGGGGGGGACGGCGCTCCGCGGCCGGCTCTGCCTGCTGCGCCCGCAGTGCCTCCGCCCCGTGCCCGCGACTGCCGCTGCGGCGTGCCAGGCCCAATCGGCGGGCGGGGCCCCCTTGCCCTAAGTCGGGCGTGCCCTCTACAGGGAGATTTTCGACGAAAAGTAAAGAATATATTCAAACTATCCCGGCAAAGCAACCGAACAGCGATGTGTAGAAGCACAGCTGGAAACCTTGCCTGTGGTATTCATGTAAGAGCGCTGTTGTAGAATTCTGGTGTTCTCGCAGTCGCATTCGGATTCGCAGTGGCAGTCGCAGTGGCAACATCAGCGGCAGTCGCAGTGGCTCTGCCAGTAGTTGCAGTAGCAATAGCTACACTAGCAGCAGCAACAGCAGCAGCAGCAGTAATAGTAACAGTAGTAGTAGCAGTAGAAGTAGTAGTGATGGTAGCAGTGGTAACAGTGAAGTAGTAGTTCCTTTGAAAGGAAATCTTCGAAAGCAGGGCTCTAGCCAAGAAGGCTACGGGGACGATATGGGACGATGATGATGATGATGATGATGATGATGATGATGATGATGATGATGATGATGATGATGATGATGATGATGATGAAGATGATGAGTTTTGGAAGTCTGGGAAGTGGAAGAGCACGAAGTGGCGTACAGTTGGCTCCGGGCATTCAAAATGTGGCCCGGGAGTGGAGTTTTGGGAAGTGGAAGAGCACGAAGTGGCCTACAGTTGTCTCCGGGCATCTTGCCCGGGAATGGTGTTCTGGGAAGTCCAAGAGCACGAAGTGGCCTACAGTTGGCTCCGGGCATCCAAAATGTGGCCTGGGAATGGAGTTCTGGGAAGTCGAAGAGCACGAAGTGGCCTACAGTTGGTTCCGGGCATCCAAAATGTGGCCCGGGAGTGGAGTTCTGGGAAGTCGAAGAGCACGAAGTGGCCTACAGTTGGCTCCGGACATTCAAAGCGTGGCCCGGGAATGGAGTTCTGGGAGGTCGAAGAGCACGAAGTGTGTGACTGTTTGCTTAAAACGAGCCCGGCCCTGAACCCGTCCCTCGCTGTCCGGATGCTGCCCAGACTTCCCTTCTGAGTCATCAGATGTTCTCTTTTGACACCACTAGAAACCTATCTGTCTTCGCTGTTAGGTAAAAATATTCCCAAATGGTCAAGCAATAGTTTGGAAATATCAAAAGTAGTCCCCATACTATTTGTTTGATTATTACCTAACAGCGAAGACTGATAGGTTTTCTAGTGGTCTCAAAAGAGAGAGAGAGAGAGAGAGAGAGAGAGAGAAAGAGAGAGAGAGAGAGAGAACATCATGACTCCCCAGGGGGGTCTGGGCAGATGCCGGACGGGTGCCAGACGGGTGCCGCGGGAATCCGGGGACTCCCCATTTTCATTGCCAGGAGCCACATTTTGACTGCCCGGAGCCAACAGAACACCATTCCCAGGCCACATTTTGAATGCCCGGAGCCAACTGTAGGCCACTTCGCGTTCTTCGTGCTCCCAAAACACCACTCCCAGGCCACATTTTGAATGCCCGGAGCCAACTGTAGGCCGCTTCGTGTTTTTCGCTTTCCGAGAACACCACTCCCAGGCCACATTTTGAATGCCCGGAGCCAGCTGTAGGCCACTTCGTGTTCTTCGCGTTGCCAGAACACTATTCCCAGGCCACATTCTGAATGCCCGGAGCCAACTGTAGGCCACTTCGTGTTCTTCGTCTTCCCAGAACACAATTCCTGTATTATATTTTGATTGCCCGGAGCCAACTGTGGGCCATTGTGTGATCTTCGTGTTCCCAGAACACCAGTTCTGTGCCATATTTTAAATGCCCGAGCTGAGGCAGGCTGAGGCCGAGGCAGGCTGAGGCTGAGGCAGGCTGAGGCTGAGGCTGAGGCAGGCTGAGGCTGAGGCAGGCTGAGGCTGAGGCTGACGCAGGCTGAGGCCGAGGCAGGCTGAGGCTGAGGCTGAGGCAGGCTGAGGCTGAGGCAGGCTGAGACTGAGGCTGAGACTGAGGCTGAGGCAGGCTGAGGCTGAGGCTGCGGCTGAGGCAGGCTGAGGCTGAGGCTGATGCAGGCTGAGGCTGAGGCAGGCTGAGGCTGAGGCCGAGGCCGAGGCCGAGGCAGGCTGAGGCTGAGGCCGAGGCAAGCCGAGGCAGGCTGAGGCTCAGGCTGAGGCTGATGCTGAGGCAGTTTGAGGCTGAGACAGGCTGAGGCTGAGGCTAAGGCAGGCTGAGGTTGATGCAGGCTGAGGCTGAGGCCGAGGCAGGCTCAGGCTGAGACAGGCTGAGGCTGAGACTGAGGCTGAGGCTGAGGATGAGGCCGAGGCAGGCCGAAGCTGAGACAAGGTGAGGCTGAATGGGGGGGAAGGGGGAAGGGGGGGGTGGAGGAGGGAAATCTGAGGCAGGCTGACGCCGAGGCAGGCTGAGGCTGAGGCAGGCTGAGGCTGAGGCTGAGGCTGAGGCTGAGACAGGCTGAGGCTGAGACAGGCTGAGGCTGAGACAGGCTGAGGCTGAGGCCGAGGCAGGCTGAGGCTGAGGCTGAGGCAAGCCGAGGCAGGCTGAGGCCGAGGCTGAAACTGAGGCAGGCTGAGGCATCCGTAGGAGTGTCCATTGGAGTCCTTAGGAATCCCTAGGAATCCTTAGGAATCCGTAGGCATCTTTAGGAATCCGTAGGCATAGTTACGCATCCTCAGGAATCCTTAGGAATCCTTAGGATTCCTCAGGAATCCTTGGGAATCCCCAGGAATCCCTAGGAATACGGATTCCTAAGGTTTCCTAAGGATTCCTATGGATTCCTAAGGATGCTTAAGGATGCCTTAGGAATCCCTAGGAATCCTTAGGATTCCATTGGATCCTAAGGCCGTTGCCACTGCGACTGTCATTGCGAATGCGACTGCGACTGCGAGAACAGCAGAATTCTACAACTGGATTCTCACCTGAATCTTAAGGGGAATGCTTCCAGATATGCTTATACACATCGTTGTTAGGTTGCTTTGCCGGGATACTGTTTTGCTTATTTGGGGGTATTTACCTAACAACGAAGACTGATAGGTTTCTACTGGTGTCAAAAGAGAGCATCTTGACTCCCCAGGGGGGTCTGGGCGGGTGCCGGGGAACACCGCGGGCGGGCGTTTCGCTTGAGACTTCCTTACATTTTATGCTGGAATCGTGCTCTCGCCTAGGCCTGGGTCACATTTTGTTTCAGAATCGCGCTCTCGCCTGAGACTTCCTTACATTTAATGCTGGAATCGTGCTCTCGCCAAGGCCCCGGCCACATTTTGCTTCAGAATCGCAGCAGGCTGATGCTGAGGCAGGCTGAGGCCGAGGCTGATGCAGGCTGAGGCTGAGGCAGGCTGAGGCCGCAGGACTGTGCGGGAGCGCAGCAAACTGAGGCTGAGGCAAGCTGAGGCTGATGCAGGCTGAGGCTGAGGCAGGCTGAGGCTGAGGCAGGCTGAAGCTGAGTAGCCGGCCCTGAGGCAGCAGGACTAATGTGGGAGCGCAGCAAGGCTGAGGCTGAGGCAGGCTGAGGCCGCAGGACTAGCGGGAGCGCAGCAGCTGAGCTGGAGATGCCGGCTGAGGCTGAGGCTGAGGCTGATGCAGGCAGAGGCTGAAGGCAGGCTGAGGCCGCAGAGACTATGCGGAGCGCAGCCAGGCTGAGGCTGAGGCTGAGGCTGAGGCTGATGCAGGCTGAAGCTGAGGCTGAGGCTGAGGCCGCAGGACTTTGCGGGAGCGCAGCAGGCTGAGGCTGAGGCTGAGGCTGAGGCACATGCGGGCTGAGGCTGAGGCTGATGCAGGCTGAGGCCGCAGGACTATGCGGGAGCGCAGCAGGCTGAGGCTGAGGCTGGTGCAGGCTGAGGCCGCAGGACTATGCGGGAGCGCAGCAGGCTGAGGCTGAGGCAGGCTGAGGCCGAGGCTGAAGCTGATGCAGGCTGAGGCTGAGGCAGGCTGAGGCCGCGGGACTATGCGGGCACGCAGCAGACTGAGGCTGAGGCAGGCTGAGGCTGAGGCCGAGGCTGATGCCGGCTGAGGCTGAGGCAGGCTGAGGCAGCAGGACTATGCGGGAGCGCAGCAGGCTGAGGCTGAGGCAGGCTGAGGCTGAGCTGATGCAGGCTGAGGCTGAGGCAGGCTGAGAGCCGCCGA